TCTGGCAGGTTTTTAGAGGCAGTTAATTGCATGGGAGGAGACTGGTCATTCTTTCCCCATGGAGCAGTGGTGGCCTTGAACTGTGTGACTATACACACATAGACAGTATATACACACAAATACACACTCACATTGGTTAAAACAAATAAACAAAATAAAACAAAACCAAAATTTTTTCTTTCACTAGATATTGTTTTTTATATGCCATTGAGTTAGCTCTGATTCATCGTGAATGTATGTTCTCTGGAAAAAACCTTTGCCTAATTCTTTACCATCTTCACAATCTCTACTGTCTTTAAGCTTGTTGTTCCAGTCACTGTCAATCCATCTCCTCTCCTGACCCTCCACCTTTCCAGGCATGATATCCTTCTCTAGGGACTGACCACTCCTATTAACACGTCCAAGCATATGAGATGAAGTTTCACTATCATTACTACTTAGGAGAACTTTATCTGAACACTCTATCAATACTTACGCTAAGACAGTTTTCCTTCTTTTGTCAGTCCATGGTATAGCTTTGCCAATACCACAATTAAAAAGCATCAATTCTGCTTTGATCTTCCTTATTCGTTGTTCAATGGTCACGTGCATGTGAAGCAATTGAATATACCATGGCTTGAGTAAGATGCACTTTAACCATTAGAGAGACACCTTTGCTCTGCAGCGCTTTAAAGAGGTCTTTGGAAACAGATTTTCCCAATACACAATACACTACATCTGTTGATTCTTAACTACTGCTTCTGTGGGTGTTGATTGTGGATCCAAGTAAAATAAACCCCTTGACAATGTTAATTTTTTATCTATTTGTTATGATGTTGCTCATTAATCCAAACATAGAATTTTTGTTTTCTATTTGTTAAGATAGAATCCTTACGGAAGGCTATAGTCTTTGATTTATATCAGTAAGTGCTCCAAGTACTAAAAGCAAAATTTTAGCAAGCAAGGTTGTGTCATCTTGCTTGCTAAACGTATGTTCCATCACATTGTCCATCTTCTTGGATTATTTGCTCAGCGTATGTATTGAATGCTATTGTGTTAGGTACTGTCAAGTTGAATAGGTGTAGTGAAAGAGTACAACCCTAATGCACACTTTTCTATTTTTAAATTGTGTAGTCTCTTTCTGTTCTGTGTGAAAGACTGCTTCTTGGTCCATATATCAGTTATACATAAGCACAATTAAGTATTCTGGAATTCTCATTCTTCTCAATGCTATCCATAAAATATTATGATTCACATTCTTACTTCACCATTTCTTCTCTTTACTTTAGCATCTCTACACTAAAAAAGCAAGTTTCAGAGCCTCTTCTGTCCCTCAGTTTGGCCTTTCTGTTCTTTTTTCTTCTTCTCATGACCTTTCACTTTCTTCACATATAATGTCCTTGATGTCATCCCACAACTCTTCTTCAGTTGTTAGTGTTTTATAAGTAAAATCTACTGTAGTGCGGAGACGGTCTCTAAATTGCAGAGGAACATAACTCAGGTTGTACTTTGTCTCCTGTGTAATTGTTTACATTTTTTTTTTTTT